AGTATAATCTTTTATAAATTTTTATTTTTAATCAAAACCTTCAGGAAAACCACACTAAAGTATTAATGTTGGCTGTGATGGTATAATAACATAAGCGGAGGCTATCCCAGGCCAGTAACATCATCATATCACTCTTTTATCATTCTAAAGTCCCCTACTGCCTTTGCTATTGCTGAGAGGAGATGGTTACATCTTCCATGTGGTTAGAGGCTCAACCATTATGAAGGCTTAGGCAATGATGGGCAGTACTTCCTTCTTCCTCCTTTCCCTTCTATTCGAACCTTTTAAAAAAATTAATCAGAAGAGACAAATGATACTAACCAAGAAGACATTAAAATCTTGCACACATACACAGCAAACTCTGACCAACTCAATTTCATAAAAAGCATTCCACTGTAAAAATTAACCCCAACACAGCAATGGTGGGTGATTTCATTACCACACTCTCTCCAGACTATGGACAAAAATTAACAGAGAAATGTAAGATTTAATTGGGACACAAAACAAATCTCAACAAATATAGAAAAATTGAAGTAACACTATGTAACCTATATGACCACAATGCAATAAAAGATAAAATTCAAATAAAAAGAATCTCTAGAAATTGCATGAACTTGTGGAGATTAAACAACACACCACTGAATGATGAATGAGACAAAGAAAACAATTTAAATGGGAACTTAAAAACTCCTGGAAATAAATGAAAGTGAAATCAAAACCAGCAAAACATCTGAGACACATGAAAACAGTCCTCAAAGGGCAATATATGGCTCCAAATGCCCTCATTATAAAGTCAGGAAGAGAACTGATGCAATTCAAGAATTTGGAAAAATAAGGAGAAGCCAAACCCAAGTCCTATAAATGGTAAGAAAAAGTTAAAAACAGGACAAATTAATATAATAGAAACAAACAGATCGATTCAAAGAATTAATGAATTGAAGAGCTGGTTCTCTGAAAAGATAAACAAAATTGACAACCAAAAGAAGGAAGAGATGACCTAAATTAACATAATTAGAGATAAATGGTAATACAATAAAAACCCTGTACTCTATTAAGTTAGAAAACTTAAAAGAAATGGATAAACCAAGAAGATAGCAACAACTTAAATAGAACCATAACAAATAAGGAGAAGAAAAAAAACTGTAATGCAAGCTCTCACTTTAAACAGCCCAGATCCTGATGAAATTCTGCTGGACTTTCAAGAAAGAACTACAACTAATATTTCTCAAATTAAAAAAATAGAAACAAAGAAAATACTTCCAAATGCTTTCTGCTATTCCTCTACCACTAAAATCTATAAGCCAATATTCCTGATGAACTTGGATGGAAAAATTCTCAATAACAATATCTGTAAACCAAGTGCAGACATATATCAAAAAGATTATCCACCACAATCAAATTGGATTCATCTGGGAGATGCAGTTATGGTTCAACATACATAAATAAATAAATGTGACCCTATACATGGACTTAAAGACAAAAATCACTCAATCATTTCAATAGATGCAGAAAAGAACTTTGACAAAATCTAGCATGCCTTCATGACAAAAGTCCTAGAGAGGGTTGGATTGGAGGAAACATACCTCAACCTAAGAAAATATGTATATGACAAACACATAGCCAACATGATCCTAACAGGCAAAAACTCAAGGCTATCCCATAAAAGTCAGAAATAAAAGAGGGTTTCCATCGTCTCCATTCCTTTTCAACACAGTACTTGAAGCACTAGCTAGAGCAATAAAAGAAGAGAAAGAAATTAAAGGGATAAGAACAGGAAGCACATGAGTATGTATGTTGATTACAAACTCATTGTTCATCAGTAGCACATTAGCATTCCCAGGAATGAGATCACTCTGAGTGTCTCCATATAAGTAAAGAGCACCATGTGTCATGTTTGTCATGTATGAAGAGCAGGGCTCCTTTCAAGTGCTTTACTTTAAGAAAAATCATCACAATTTGTACTTTTTTCATAGGACAGTACTTGTTATGTAATATGACCTGGAAAATGTAACACACAATAATCTATTGGCCTAGGGAAGAGAACACTTGAACTATGCCATCAGGAGAGATTAGGGATTCTGGTTGAGCCTGGAATGTACAATAGGCCCGCTGGGAAGAAATTTAGGGACAATAAAATTTGGGCTGAACATTCATGAACTACTTCTAAATAGTTAAAGGTGTTCAGGAATAATTACTGGCTAGTTTATCTTTGTGGACTCTTAGCTTAGAGGCTAAGTTACAACCTGTCTGCATGGCCCATTAAGGGTGCCTGCTCTGTGTATGCTTATTCACAATCCCTTGACTCCATTCTAGTACTTGAGCCTTTCTAATCTTCTCCTCCTCCAGGGATGCAGTGGAATGTGGTGGCCAGTGGGAGAGTCGGTGTCACCTCACAGCAACTTCTCCTTTGGTGGCTGCTCAGCCCAGTGATACTTAGGCCCCTGGGACAATGACATAGAAGACAGCTGTGGCTCGAAAAGAGGCCAGTCCTAAGCTGCTACAGATTTATATGTGGCTGCTCCTGGCACTCTGTTCTCCAAAGCTTTCCAACAGCATGCAGCAACACGCCCTGGACTTTTCCACCAGGATTCCAGCAGGTGGTGTTTGAGGGAGTCAGGGGAGAGAAGGGCTTCCTTGTTCGTTTTTTCAGTTCTCAATGTTTCCTCTTCCTGGAGTCTCCACTCTTGCTTGATGGTCTCTGAAGTCCATGATTTAGTCCCCTTGCTGTTTCCAGTCTGTCTCACAAGCATTCACTGTTCTATTTTCATTTTCCAAATATGCCTTCTTTGAAGTGTCTTCTCACAGATACTGTCAAAACATGTGCCTGTCTTGGTCACATTTCTTGCTTGGTCACATCTACCACAGCTGTGTTTAAATTCTCCACTGTCCTTTCTTTGCCTTCTTTTGGGCTGGGCACTTGTACATGTTCTTTCTTGTGTTTAAGTGTAGGAGTGTATCCTCTTGGTCAGCCCTGTCAGTCACTGAACTCTGCTTCCTTTTATTTTTTCTGTGTTCAGTGTCAATGTTCTGTTTAGGACAGGCTCCATTCATTTGTCACTGGAGATACAGAATAGATATCTGTCCGTGGAAAATGGTCTCTGCTTGAACCTGGAGGGAAGTTAAAGATGGTTTTCCCCAGTACCAGGAGCAGATCTATCTCATCTGAGATATTTACTTTTCTGTCAGCTAGGATAGAATACCTATCCTAGGTAGGGCTGGTGGCATTATGGGTGTCTATTAAGGGATGCTGGCATCTTTTTATGAGTTTGTGGTGAAGTCCACAGTACCAACTCAAAAACCTCTGAATATGGCCTTGCTTCTTACAGTGGACAGAATTGATATAATTCCACACTGTGGGGCCTTGTTACTCTTGCTATCTTCTAGATGGAGATGTTCAGAGTCCAGAAATGCTAAGGATTAAAAAAAAATAAGATCTGACTCCAAGTCAGAGGACCCAGGTGCCAGCCCTGGCTCTACTTCTGAAATTCTGTGAGACCATGAACAATTGTCTTTCCATCCATGAAAATCACTTTCTACATTGCCAAATGAAGCTTGGAGTTGGGGCATCTTTAAGATTTCTTTCAATTTTTAGGCCAATAGGATGCTGCTATAGCCAGCCATATGCTACCTCAAAAACTCATGGCCTGCCTACCTTTTGGCTTTGTTTCAAAAGAACCACCCTCCTGATTTGGGCCTTCTAGACTTCTGACTTGATTAGCTATGCCCTTACAGTTAACCTGGTGTCTTTCACTCAAATCAGAGTCCATGGTTTGTCCCAAATAGCCCAGAGCAGAGATCTTAGTGGGGAAAGTACCAGTTCCCAGAGTCAAGTGATGTTTTAGCTTTCATCTTGGCTGTGGTTTGACTCCATCTCAGGACTATTGACTGCAATCTTCTCTTGAGCTGCTCATGAAGTGTCATTTACTCTTCATGTCAGCATTGACTGTAGTTCTGGAATTGAACTTGACAAGAAATAGACTTTGGAATGAGGAAGAGAAGAATGCCAAAAAAAATTCAAATGCCAAAAAGAATTCTCTGCTATGTGAAGACTTAGTTTTCTTGAGCACAAGGCATGCCTTAGCAAGAGGAAGTAGACCCTGAGAAGAGAGCTCCTAAATGCTGCTGAGAAAAAAAAGCAATCTCTATGCTAAGACATATTGCATGCTGAGATGGTTCCTGGAGAGACTGATCCAGTGGAGCAGTTCTCACTAGAGGCTTCTTCTTGTCAACCATGAAGACAGTTGAAGCCTTAACAGAGACACTGACTCTGTAGCTGGATCAGTCTGCTTTGAATTTATAAGTCCTTGCTCCACCAACATCACTAGGCTCAGCATTCATTTAGAGGCAAGTGTCATTTTGATTCATTTCTAATGCAAAGGATGGGATGCAACCGACTTACCATGGTTGGCCATATATAGCCATCCCTTCCATGTACATGATGGTGAGAAAGTGGCATGCACACCAAGTCAATGGCTGACATTCTGAGTGGATGGAACTGAAAGCTGGATGATTTGGGCCTCAGAATATCTTCTACTTATTTCATAATGGTTGATTTGGAGACAAATGATATTTATGGAAACACTCTGTAAACCCATAAGATGACAGCCTGATTGTGTGTTATTATTATGGGTATTTTGAATTGCTGGAGATGTGCTTGACCTCTCAGGAGCTAAGCTTTTCTTCACTAAGAAATGAGATCCGTTTAGAATGAGCTTTCTGTTTTGGAAACAAAACCTAAGAGCAGCCTTTGGGGACCAACATGCCCCAATCTACCCCTCCTCATTCAATCACTCCAGGTTGCCCAGCACACACATTTATATATCACACTCCATTTAAAGGGATTCCTTTGTTCTCAAAGAGGCGAATAAAGAAGACAACTAATTGGGCAAATTTTTATAAGAAGTTTACATGTAACTTCATAGTCTCATTGTTAAGATAAATCGTGGAGAACCTTGGCAGATTCCATGACAGGTGAGGGTGACCAAGGCAGGGGACAAACATGCCAGGCAGACAGAGGTTAAGTGAGAAGCTTTGTAAAAAAGGGAAGGAGGGGAGAGAGTTAAAGAGGCACAGAGACAGAGAGAGGACAGAAGAGGGAGACAGGAAAATTCCTGTTTGCCCCAGGGGAACAGCAGGAAAGAGATAGGGAAAGAGAGCAGAAAGAGAAGAAATCATAAGTGGGAGGGGTCTTTCTTTTAAATGGGTCCTTTGCACCTGTGTGCAGACTCCACAATCATGGAACCCTGGGCTGAGTGCATTCTGCCAGGTGATGGGGCAGGCCAGCATAAGGCCTGAGTCCTTACATTCATGAGCTAAGTTCATATATTTGCTTTTCATATAAAAATATCTGGAGAAAAAAATCCCTGTCTATAAAATTAATTCTCACCTTATAAACTATACATACATACACATATGTGTGTATATATATGTATTAACATATATGTATATATATAGAATTTATATATTTTTTAAAATAAATGTGGCTCAGTCTATGAATGACAAGCTGACAAGAATGTTACATAAAGGGTCACTAAGTTACTAAACTGGCATAAACTTTGGTACTTCCTTACCTAATGATAGTCTATGTAAGCCCCTGGTTACAACGTAATTCCATTGTATCTACTATCTTAATTTTGTTTACATTTTTTCAAGTATAGTTACAAATGGGGTAACTTGTACCCTAGTGTAAGGAATACAGTAAGTACATGTGGGCCTGTTGTAGAGAACATGAACCTTACAATTTCAGAGGGTAGCAAGTTCCAATGGTGGCATTAACTTTGCTTTCATGAGCTTGTTGGTTATATCTGTGGTGTATTTGAAGCTAATATTTTTAAGGTTTTAAGAGTCCCTATTATAATCTTGTTTCCATGGGAAGCATCCTTGGTTTTATGTTAGATTCTTTTTGACACAGTTTCTAACAATATGTTCCTGCCCAGGTTTTTTAAAGTTAATTAATTATATTTATTGATAAAATATTGACATATTACACATGTTTATATAACTTTATCTGTACATGTTTAAATAAACTATACATTAAAGCAAATCTCAAATCCCAAGAGAAATAACTGAGTTTTGATTATGCAATAAAATGCCAAAGTCAACCTGTGTGTATCAGTACTGTGAAGCATCTATTTAACGCCCAGAGCCAGGTCACCCCTCAGATGTCAAGTGGATCTGGAAATTTTCTGTCTTCAGTATCAATTCTCCTTAAAATAAATTCCAAAGCCAAGGGCTCTTAAGTAATGTGATTCTACCTACCTGCCTGCCTGTCATCTTTATTAAAGCCTCAAGCACTAGGAGAGATCTCTCTGACATGATCAACCTGGGGCCATAGTGTGGGGATTCAAATTAGACACTCTAAAGATATAAACTATAGGGAGTCTTTCACAGCAGTGTGACCATGGCATATGCTCATGTCCTGGATTGAAATTATTAGGCATGAACCTCCTTGCTTTCATAATAATATAACATAATTTTTAATATAAGAAACCCCCTTGGAGCCTGACCAACTCCCTTCAGAACAGATGATACGTTAAAAAAAAATCTCAGCCCCAACTTTTCTGAGTGTGTGACAATGTAAAGACTCCCACAAACAGGGGCAGAGTGAGAAGTGACAAGTCCCAAATCTTCAACTCTTGGGACTTCCACCTTCTGATACAGAATGCAGAGAATGGGACAGTAATCAGGTTTTCAAATTAGAATCCTTGCATACAGAAGTTTTTGGAGTCCCATTGCACAAAAGATTCAAGGAGTTTGGTAATTCTGAATTTCCCATATCTGATCATTTCAACCCACACACTAGAAGGACAATGCTTGGGAGCAAAAGCCTAAACAACTGGGTTTTGGGTGGTGCCTGTTTTACCATCACTCTTAGTTTTTTTGAAAGTGTCCATAGAACTGAGGCAAGCTATTTTTTCAGCTGCCAGTCCATGATCTAGATGAACACAAAGCCTCTTTCTGCATATGACTGCCCCCTGGAACTTCCTGGAATGAACACTTAAGTCAGCACATGGAGTACATGCTACATTCAGGTGAAGTTCTAAGCCCTAGATATATCCTGCAGGAGGAACTGACCCAGCTGTTTCTGTCCATTCTCTGACTTAATCCTCCCAACAACACTAAGGGGTTCAAAGAAACAGTTTGTGACCACATGGGGTGTCGGGCTCTGTCTCCCAATGAGTGTTGAGAAGCTTGCTGTTCTGTCAAGTATAAAATAAACAGGAAAACACATGTATATCAATTAGACTGTTTAGATATCGGTGTGTACTGTAGAGAGCATAAATAAAAAGCACAGCCTGCAAGGGATGATGTGCCACTATTAGTGGCTTCTTGGGGAAGTGGTTTAGAGGAGAAGAGAGTTCTGTGATCAGAGACCAGGGTGGGTAGGCATATTGCATTGGGCAAAGAGAACAGCAGGTACCAATTCCCTGGGGCTGG